ATGCTGCAAAGCTGGGGAGGGGGTGTGGGTGCGAGCATGTTGGGAACCAGGCTCAGAATGCAAACTGGTTCAAAAATCAAACCGATTTGAAGATGGAAAGGACGGGACTGGGGGCAAGAGCTGTGGCTGGGCCACTCGGCTGCATAGGGCAGCTGGGACGGAGCTGGGCAGGCACTGGAAATGCCAAACTTGGCACAAACCATGCGGCCGGCGGGAATTTTTTTTGGCCCCAGCCAGTGCCGGCACTGCGGCACCACCGAGCTCTCCGGGTGCGGCTGTCGGGGAAAGAGGGGGACAAACCAGCAGGGCCCAGCGTTTGCGGTGAGTGGTCCCGGAGCTCAGTGAGCAACTGGCTTGCCCAGTCCCATGCCCTGCTCCCAGGGGAGAACATCCCCCCCCCTGCCCCGGCCTCCCCTGCCATGCTCAGGGCTGGGTGGCTTTGGCACCACCCGTTGGTCCTGGTGGTACTGGGCACCCAGCGGTGGGGTGGGTGCCACACACGTGGCTGTTTCTCGAGGCTTTCGGCTGTGACGACAGCTCTGTGCGCTGTCCTGCGGCAGGACGGACAGACTGACAGGCTGCCCGCACCCGGTGATGGGGGATCCCTCCTCAGGGAGGGCGCTCCCGGTGAGCTCTGCCGTCCACCCTCTCTCCAGCAACACTTCCATCAGTGATCCCAGTATAAATACACACCTCAGCCGGTGGAACTGGCATAGGAATATGAGCCAGCAGGGTGCCCAGGTGGCCAAGAGGGCCAGCGGCATCCTGGCTTGTATCAGGAGTGGTGTGGCCAGCAGGAGCAGGGCAGGGACCGTGCCCCTGTGCTGGGTGTAACCCCCTGTGCCCGGCTTCGCTGACGCATTTTTAATGGCACCGTGATGCCACTGCTAAACAGAACACCCTCCACGAGTTCATTGGCCCGGATCTATTTTCCATTAAAACCCGGCTGAAGCATTAACTTCTGTTACCGATTTCTGGAGCTTCACTGACCGAGCCGTGCCTGTGTCCGTGCGTGGGATCAGGGTGAAGCCAGCTCGCTGCTAACAACCCAGGCCGCTAATGACCCAGGCCATCTCTTGGCTTAAGCGGGGGCCTGTGGCTGGTTGCTGCCCATCCCACTGCCCCCCCGCTCTGCCCGGGGTCCGTCACCGCACCCTGATGGGGGGACCGGCCCCTGGTCTGCTCCATCCGCTCGCCCTCTGCGCTGGGGGACCCGTACAGTGCCCAGCCGCAGCCGCATGAACATTCCCTGCGCCGGTCGGGACGAGCGGCCGCGGCGGAGCCTCCTCGCAGCCACCCAGGGCTGCCAGGAGGAGCAGGGAGCAGGGCTCCTGCTGCGAAGCGCCCAGCGCCGTCTCAGCACCCAGGCTGGGGATGCCGCCCCTGAGGAGCTGCTGGGGCCACGGGCAAAGCCAGGCCAACACTCTGCCAGGCGCCCCTGAGCCCCCCTGC